ACTTCTTTCCACCACCACCTCCTCCTCCGCCTCCACGTCCTTTTGAATCCCTTGTTGCTGCCTTTCTTCTCGAACGTGATGAGGATTCTGGGACATTCAAAGACTGCCTGGGAGGGATGGCTGAGACCGGACTACGAGCACGAGAACACTCGCGACGCCTTTCTCTTGATCCATGTTGACGAAAAGAACGACCACTGCGACCACCGTATTCTCGACCAGGATCTACTTCATATCTGTTTATAAATGAAAAAGTTGGTCTTCAACTCTAACAATATGGGCATGAAAACCACATTTACACTAAATGATAATTTGGTTATTTCTCACCTACTTACTAAATCAATCTCGCTACAGATTAAAATTACAGATAAATCTTATTACTAAGTACAATCAAAGATAGATTTTGGCGAGACTAAACTAGAAGTCCGACAATGTCTTGTCCACCATCAATAGGCCCGTAGTAGAAGAAAAACATGAAGCCCCTACTCGAATTCATCTCGGAGGTGAGGGGGATCTTGTAAACCGCTTCTACTCTTATGTGACTGCAAAGAAGATGTTTCTGGATCAATTTTGGAACTTTGATCGCGTTGAATAGTTGGTTGCTTTGAGTGAATGTTCCGGATGTCTATTAAAGGCCAACAAAGTGCAAAAAATGCCCCACATTCATCACGCCTATGAGGTTCAGGGAATTTATGCTCTGAAACTAAATGTTCGTGAAGCAATGTACTGTAGGAACATGTCATTTTACATCGGGAACATTCAAGACGCACCTCTTCTACCTTAATCGACGCATCTGCGACTTGCTGATCAGAAGCCTCCTCTTTACACGCACTGTGTTCCTTGGCATGCGATTCCATTGTATAACGAGACAGAAAATTTTCTACAGAACTGGATTTGAAGATGAGATTGGACACAGAGGTATGGAAATGTGGAAACAGTCCACCTCATCCATTTTGTCGTAGCAAGCTGAACACGGCAATACGTTTTGCCTTTTTAAATAAACCCCGTTAAACAAATTTTAATTCAAAATGTGTCGAATTCTACTATTCATTTAAAACATATTATGAATGAATCTTACTCATTTTGGTAAGTTAGTTTACTTGATTAGATGAATCAGAAAACTTTAAGAAGGCTCACTGGCCTAGATTCACAGACGATTTGCGAATGAATTTTACACAAGTTCTCTCAACTTCAACCAACATCCTGACAAACTGTGCTACAATATCACAATTATTATGATCAGATNTCAATTTTGGAACTTTGATCGCGTTGAATAGTTGGTTGCTTTGAGTGAATGTTCCGGATGTCTATTAAAGGCCAACACAGTGCACAAAATGCCCCACATTCATCATGCCTATGAGGTTCATGGAATTTATGCTCTGAAACTAAATGTTCGTGAAGCAATGT